GTGGCATGCTGGCGATGCTGAACCGACTTGGGCTTGCCTGGGGAGGATATTTTCCTGGCACCAGGAATCAAAAAGGCTACGTCAGTACACGTCGATCAAGTTTGGTGTTTTGCCTGATACGGTTAAAATATCTCTCGCGGTCTGACCCCCCAGGGCTAGAAACGGTAGTGATGACATACCTGGAATCTGATGTTTGAATGCATAGAGACGTCGAAGTCGGTGCCCGACCGAGACGAGCCACACACACCCCGCATCACCCACATACACTTTTCATATATATATATACATATTTAATACTCCTTAGACATATTTTTTACCCGAAATACAGATGATGTCGTAAATATTACATATTTCGACTTCGCCACCTCACCTGTCCCCTGCAACCCTCTCCCCCTTCCCCTTCCCCTCCCCTCTCCATGATTACCAACCATTGCCACCACCATGGGCGGATACCGACAATCACGCCATGGAATATCACCTGGATCTTGATGAGGAACGCATCTGGTTCTTCTCTCGATGAAGTCCAATTATACCAAGATTTCGTTCCCGACAATACCGAAACCAATGCAATGTCTCGGAAACGAGGTATAAAGCGGCCTCGACCCAAACGTGCATGGGACCCAAACACTAAAGTTGGGACAATGCGCACGGTGTATCAGAGGTCGAAACAAGCGTCAGAGAGTAACCACCAACACTGCCAGCTGCTATGGAGAAGACGTGACACCTGCCTGAACACTGCAAAGAGTAGGGGTAACATCCCTGATGGAACGGACGAACACCAACGTAGCGGTCAGCCCTACCCCATATGGATTTCGTGCGGGGACGACAGCAACAACGGGAGACCGCTCCCTCGCAAAAACACCGTCACCATTTATGCTATTGTTAACCTGACAAACGGTGTGAAATATGTGGGACGCACAGTAGATAGCCCGTATGCACGCTTTGCGGGACATCTTGGAACCGGGGATAGACTAGGTAGAGCACTTGATCTTGACTCGACCCAGTTCGCCGTGTTTGACCTGGAGACGCTACCGCGATACCTGCCTGAGGGCCACAGACCTCGTACTCTGATTCACTGGCGACAGAGAGAGGGTTTCCGGATTGCGCGCATGGATGTTGTCAAGAACGGTTCAAATACCAAGAGGGAGATCGCCTGCCCCCCAAGCCCTGGTCTACCCACGCATGGATTTGGTACGCGACCGATTAAACGGTCTAGACACGAAGCACGTAAGACGCAAGCAAACGGCGGTACCCAAAAACGCATGTGCGGATCACGTGACTGGAAGCGACGACTTCATTATCTTGCTAGGCTCATCAAGCATAAGCCGTGCAAGGTAGATACCTACACCAAGGCGCTAGCAACCAAAAACATGCTACGCACGATAAGGTATGCAGGGCATATTGGTATCACAGCTGAACTGCACCCAGCATTCAAGCATTACGCCGAGCGTACCTTGCGTTTTAAGTTGCACAAGATGTTGACATTCGGGCACCAATGGAGGGATGCACCGATGCCTATGTATGAAAAACGTTCGATTTTGTAGGCATGTACCCTAATATCCCTATAGTCCCACTAAAAGAAAAACTGAGGGAAGCTTTGAAACTTGCGTTTGAATACCAGGCCGAAAAGTACGGATTAAAACCTGTCAACGAAAGCAATGTGCCTACCATATCACGATGAAAACTAATGAAAAATAAGGCACATAATAGTATGTAGCGATGCAAAGATGTGTGGGCAACCGCATATTTGACCATCGAAACCGCAAGGGGGGACACTGAAAATGAAACGTGCCCCTTGCAAGTAGAGTGAGAAACTTGTGACCGACTTCCTCGCCAAAATTCCCATGCATCCAGGTGACAATGGAATGGCAAATACTGGAAATGCCGAAATGCCGCCAAATGACGCCGAACCAGAATTCTACCCTTCAATGAGTCAGCCAAGTATGCACATGAAGGATCGCACACGCAGCCATTCGTCTGAGCTACTCCCCCACCTCTCCTGGTTTTCGGAGCTAGCCGGCAATTCGGATCCAGCCGTTGCGCGATACGTAATCATCTCCGTTAGGATTAGAGGAGGACGGATTCTAAAGCTGTGGAGAAGCACTGCGCCTGTTTGCTCTTTCCTACTACTGCTGCTTGCGACTGCCTTGGGCCCTCCAAAACTGCGACAGGTACGAACAAACTCCTTCGTGTGTGGTCGAAGTTGGACTGCGTCTTTGTACAAGCCCCAACATGCCATGCACAACATACTGCTGCTGCGGTTCACCTGTCGCCGTCCTTCCACATCTACCTGCCCATGACACATGCTGCCACTTGATGCGACAACAACATCTGGGAACAACATGGACACAGGGAGTACTCCCCCGACCCATACACAACACCGTCAAAACTGCTTGTAAGCTAGAACAACCTCTAATTCCTCTCTTTCAACAAACTACTCTTCGCTTTTTGTCTTTTTGTCTTTTTCTCTCTTTTCTGTGCCAGATGGCCTTGTCTCTGCTTGCGTTGTGATGTACCAAGATTGAACCAACGGGGTGTACCTCATTCTCTCCGGCCCGTGATGGTGACTCCTAGTCTCATTTGTTTCCTCGTATAGCGCGCAGAGGGAGTGGAGGACTCCAGAATATCTGTTGTTGATTTCTATTGACTTGCGGACCCCTCGGGGCAATTTTATTTGAGTGTACCTTTTCAGGGTAAGTCAACCTGCGACCACGGGAATCGACCGCGTCAAGTGTTGGATCAGTACGGACATACGAAGGTAGTGGGTAGTGGGAGATCGGAACGGTTTATGATGTGAAGAAAACAACAACAACAACAACAACAACAACAACATACAAATGTAGATGCATGAAATGATACTCTGTCTTTACTTATGGTCCGTGCTGCCTACAAATAAATGGAAAAGGTAGCTATACCTTCTGCCGACACACGGGCGAGAGAGGCGACCATGCCCACTGCATTTAACACACACCCACATGTCAGTGATGAAACCCCAACCACACGCCTCTATCGGCGGCCACGTCAGGAGGCAATGATGAGATAATGTTCTCCCGTGCCCGTCTCACATTGAAAGACATGCCATTAGTCTACACAACACGGTAAATATGTTCTCCCGCGCCGCACATGCCCCCATACATCACACACAATAAATAAGTTGATGACGAAAATATACACACCCCGAGACGCGCTTGCTCCGCAACCGCGTAGGGGTGCTATAATAGAACACCCGACAAACCGAGTTCCTCTAAATCTTCCGTCTACAACTACTTCCCAACATTACATACAGATAGATACACAAGATGGCTACCAAACTGCCTTGTTGAGCCTTTTACCCACAGGGGAGCTATCGTTGTATGCTGTCTGGGAACCGTAGACGTACAGGTAGCCTTTCGCTCACGCTTTGGATTCATTGCTAATCTAGACTATCTATCTATCTTAGACCTATTTCTATATTCTAGGTAGAGATGGTGTGTGATATTAATAAGAAAAAAAATCCGAGCGAGTGGGGGAGTCTGGTACTCTGCGGTGTGTGTGTGTCTATGTTCGTCCCATCTATTGGGCGCGAAAGAAAACAAGAACGGCGTGATTTAGTCCTAGTACCAATATCCAGAGGCGAAGAGATAGCACCGGTCGGGGAGATGACACCGGGGTGCGTGCCTACTACGTACAACACCACCATCACGGTCGTAGCACCGCAAGCAGCTCATGTACAAAGCAGAAGTGGTGTCGTGTTCAACGCCCCTTTCGAATCCATCGCGAACTTATCACGCCATATATACATACTCTACAGTAGGCTGTGGTGGTTTAGACCATGATGGGTGTACATTGTCCTTCGGGAAAGGAAAGCAAGGTGCTGTAGGCACATAGTTCAGAGTCCACGTCTCCCTGCCGCAGCTTGCCTTTGGCGGGACTGTGAAAAGTGTCGCGATCTGACCAATAAGGAGCGAGCGAACCGGAGGAGATAGGGGGCAGGCACTCAGGAGACCGAGGGATGTATGCATAGGATCGGCGGAGCAGCAGCATCCAACCAAACCAACCGCCGAAGGTAGGGAGAGAAAACGGCGGAGACGTGAGCGAACGAGTTGCACCGTAGAGGTGAGGGCTGGGTTGACCTTATGTGCGTTGTGGTGCTGGTGGGGTTGGCTCGTTGGGTTGAAGTCTCCGATGCGGTTAATTACGGATTGTTATTGAGGTTTGTTACGTTTTTCCGCCGCCAGTTAGAATAGAGTCGCAATCTCCCCGTGTAGCCGTGTTGATAGAAAACCGCGTGTCGCGTAGTGCAGCACTGCCCCAAGAGGCGGGAAAGAGCTGAGGTAGCGTCCTCTCGAAGGATCGAACCCTCTCAAGCGCATGATCTCGTGGAACCCCCGCTGAAGAGCAAGTTGAACCGAACGGGAGCCTGGCTGGCTAGACGAGGTCTCCTGGCTCCTGGCCTCCTGCAACATCGGCGGAGAGCGTGAAGATATTCCTACACAGACCCGTAACGCACCCCTCGGTTAGAGCAATCGTATCGCCGCGTTTTCGGTCACACCCGGCACCAGGTTGTGCTAGTGTGAATCCAACACGGAAAAAAACATTTTTGCGAAAGGTGCACACACACGCTGGTAGGTAAGCTCACATTTTTTTTTTTCGAAACATGACCATTCACAGTCAGTCTCGCCTACGGTTTAACCCTTTCGTGACGGAGCTACCCGCCGGCTCTTCCGGGGGTCATTCCGACCCTTCGGCCCCAACAGCCCGAAATTTCAACCAAGAACGCAAAAGAAAGACGCCAGAATAGGAGACATCCTCGAGCGCGACGGGCCCTACTTTCCACACATGTCTGCGCACAACTGCGTGACATTGCGCGCAGAGCATAGCCAACACACACAGCAGGACACGCGCGGTGTTCGCCGGGGCTGTTGTACAAGAGGATAACACACACAGATGATCAAACTGCTGTCTTCCTGCAAGCAACCATTTTCCACAGATACCGCAGAAAAATAGCCTCCTTCATCCCATCAGACATCGCCACGTACTCCGCTTCCGTCGAAGACAGGGTGACGCTCTTCTGCGTCCTACACAGATACATCACACACCCACCAGCGAACATCACTAAATAGTGCCCCAGAAACAGACCGCCGGTCGGTTGCCTTGTTGGCGAAGTCCGAATCGACAAAAAATTCCATGTGGTCTCCTCCCACCTTGCCCCTCTGAAAAGTAATCCCGTGCCCGCTCGTGAATCTAACATACATCAAAACATGCAAAGCCACCTACCAGTGCAGTCGCTTCGGCGTNGAAGTCCGAATCGACAAAAAGTTCCATGTGGTCTCCTCCCACCGTGCCCCTCTGAAAAGTAATCCCGTACCCGCTCGTGAATCTAACATACATCAAAACATGCAAAGCCGCCTCCCAGTGCAGTCGCTTCGGCGCGTGCGAATACCTCGCAACGGCACGCACCGCGTTGAGAATATCCGGGCGAGTCTGATTCGCCAGCCACATCAAGTGTCCCACTAGCGACCGGAAAGGCTCGTCGACATCGGGCTCGTCGGCGTCGTACTGCTCAAGCTTCAACCCAACGACCACAGGTGTCTCTTTGTCGGTCGTCACACCGAACTTAGCAACGATCTCCTCCGCTACAGCCTGTTGCGAAATAGTCACCGTCCCCAACACCGTGTCACGAGAAAACCGGCAACCCGCATACCAGCGCAGTTCCCCAAGGTTGGAAATGGGCACATACCGGTTGAGGTCAACACCAAACTGATCGCACCTGCTCTTGAGCCCGATAGAGAAGATGTCGTCTACGTGGATCACAACCACCATGGTGACTACACCGCTCTCGATCAGACGCATCACACACGCATCGGCGGCACAAGGCTCGAAACCAAGACTCTTCATGCCACGCATCAAGTGATGATGCCATGTGCGGGACGCCTGCTTCAGACCGTATAGGCTCCGGCTCAACCGCACGACCTTACCGGAAAGCGCACCGCACCCAGGGGGAAGACGAATGAACACAACCTCATCCAGTTCTGATTGGACAAAGCTCGGCATCGAAATGGCAAAAGTCCCAATCGAACACACAGGCAATGGCGGCTAGCAATCGAATGCTCGTGATGGAAGGACACGGGGAGAAAGTCTCAAAGAAGTCAACACCCTCACGCTGCGCAAACCTACGGGCTACCAACCTAGCCTTAGCACGCACAGCATACCCAAACTCGTCTCCCTTCCATGAATACACCCACTTGGCGGAGATGACGTTCGTCCCTCGTTGCTATTCCGCCCCGACCTCCTCGAAGGTGCCCACTGCATTCAGCCCGAAAAACTCCTTGCGTTCGGCGTTGGTCCAGATGTGGTGGTGGGGCCCCGCGTGCGCCTCCCCGTATGTCTCAGGCGTCTCCAGGTCGCACACCAGCCCCGTCGGCAGGGCTGGCTCAGCGACGCCCGGTGCAGGAAGCTCGGCGATAGACCGCTTGATCTCGTCCTCCGTGGCTAGAAGAGCAAATATCCCCGGCCCCGGCCCATCTCGCTTCGCCCGCCACCTCGTCACTGCGGGGGTCGCTACAAACTCCCGCTGCCCCTGCCGACGACGTCCGCCTGTACCGCCCTCATGCACCTATCTCCGTCCACAGTCCACCCGATGCCATCGCCGCCGAGTGCGCGGGGGCAGGTGTGGCAACCAGTGCCGCAGATGTGCTCACCCGCGAAGGCCGCCCCGCCATCCGCGCAAGTTCCGCCAACACCGCGCTGCGCGCTGCTCCGCTC